TATCAACAGGTAGCTTTGAATGGGGTTTGAACCTCAAACTAACGAGATATTCTAACTTAAATAAAATCTTTTGGCCTCCAACTGGTATGCATGCAAAGGTAAACACTTCAGTCACCTTTGTTAGGAAAGGAATACGTTATAAATCATTCTCTGCAATGGAGAAGACTTCCGCACTCGATTCCTAAAGGAACAAACGTAAACGTAAGAGATAAACTATACTTTCTTAAGGTATGCTCTTGTATTCCTCAACGTACGTGTCGGAAGGAATGTCGAATTTTCGACTCAAACGTCGACCGCAGACCGCAGCTACATCTCCACATTATTTACGCCTGTTAAACAGATAAGGGTTTTGTTTTCGAGTTCAAGGGACTTATGTCTCAATGACTCCTAACCAAGTCAATAAATAACTTGATTACAATTCTACTTGAACTTTGCAAAAGTAGCACAAATGAGGGAGCAGCTTTGTTTAAAGTCGTCGTCAAGTTTCGGTATTACTGAAATCCTCGAGATGGTTCATCTAGCAATTCAAAGATCGTGGTTGACGTTCTCTTAACAAATATTTCTAGATTAATAGTACGTTTCCTTGACCTAATAAAGTTTGTTATTTCGAAGGATAACATAGGAACAACATCGTCCGATTGGTTTAGAAAACAAAACAAGAACAAAGAAATAAAACTGAAATATATTTTCTTAAGGTATGCTCTCGTATTCCTCATCGTACGTGCTGCACTATGCAAATGGTTCGATTCAAACAATGAAGCACTCACATTATTTACTCAAGCAGCCTCTTACAGACCGCTGCTAGGTGTCATTATTTACGCCTGTTGAACAGTTAAGAGTTTTATTTTTGAGTTCAAACTACTTACGCTTCAGTAGCCTTAAACCAACGCAACAGAATAGCTTGACTATATTCCTTCTTGAACCTTGCAAAAGTAGCGCAAATGGTCTGGCTTTGTTTAAATTCGTCTTGCAAGTATCGGTATCATAACGAAATCCCTGAGATGGTTCTTCTAGCAATTATAGAAGGTCGTTTTTGACGTTTTCTTAACAAATATTGCTGGATTAATAGTGTTTTTCCTTGGCCTAATAAAGTCTATTATTCCCGTTGATAACATAGGAACAACATCTTCCAACTGATTTAGTTACACCTGTTGAACAGATAAGTGTTTTGTTTTCGAGTTCAAAGGACTTAAGTCTCGGTGACTCCTAAAACAAAGCAACAGAATAGCTTGACTATATTCCTTCTTGAACTTTGCAAAAGTAGCGCAAATGGTGTGGCTTTGCTTAAAGTCGTCTGCAAGTATCAGTATCATAACGAAATCCCTGAGATGGTTCGTCTAGCAATTATGGCAAGTCGTTGTTGACATTTTCTCAACAAATGTTCCTGGATTAATAGTGCTTTTCCTTGGCCTAATAAAGTCTATTATTTCCGTTGATAACATATGAACAACATCTTCCAACTGATTTACATTACAAAACAAGGGCAAGGGTGAAAAATTGACATCTACACATTCTCTACCGCAGAGTAGTTCCCTTTTGCACATGTCTGCCGGCGTGAAGAGGTCTGGATAATTCCTAAAATTAGCTGATTGGGTCTCACAACACATGCCTGAGTTACGTTCCAAGCCAAAATGGCTTTGCTTTTGTGAAGAATTGCAGGAACAGCACAAAGTGCAATGGGCTTTACAGAGTTTTTTTTTTTTTTTGGGGGGGGGGGGGGTTAACTCATGCTTGCTTTGTAATTTCTTTTCCAAGCAAGTTTTCTTTACAAGAGGAACCCACGCGCTGTAAGTTCATGCAACTTTTTGCGCGTACCTAGTTTGCCAAGTAGACGATATTTCATTCTTTCAAATGATAACCAGTCAGATGTGGAGGCTTGCGCAGAGTTGCCCAGCTCAGAGCTCTTATAGCCGTCAAAGAGAAGAGCTCCAGGTTAGAGAATTCACCACTTCCACATTCACATGATACACTTTGTTTGCCCCCGCAAAAATTTTGCATAAGCATTTTTTCAATCGTCTCGAGAAAAATTGAAAACAAAGCTCGAGCAAAATTTTGGTCACGGAAAACAAAGTGTATTATGGGAAATGTGGAAGTGGCGGATGGCACTTGCGGGGTGGTGGCAGCGCGCATTCGTGAACAAAATCATGAGCACACAACGCAGCCCAAACACATTAGGGATATGTGAGCTCCGCCATTCCGGTCATGCATCAATATTGATGCCTATGCACCAACTACATTCTAGCACCTCATGGCAGCCAAAGATATTGACGATTTCAATGCGAAAATTTTATAATCGTTTACATTCCTTTTTTTCTCCCTGATTAATCCATAAAACAGCACGATAAGTATCTGAAGATTGTGCAAAGTGCACAACGTCTGATTAATGGAAGCCAGAACTTCAAAACATATTCATAGGCGCCTGTTAATTTATGTCCATCGTAAGCCGAAAACTCCTAGCGCCGCAACTGACTCGAAAACGCTGCAGTAAAGCTGACACGGTTAAACACTTCCTAAAGTTAGGAGCTATATTTGTGTTGGTTCACATGTCGTTGCTGTGCAGCACGTGCTTCCCCCAACCTTGTTCCTTGGTATACTTTGGCTTGAATTTATTTCTCCTTTGTCACGTGACCTTGTTTTGGGAAACCATATTTCAACAGGCATCTCAACCAAAATTTAACTGTTTTTATCTTCAAAATTCAGTTTTTTAGCCTCTTTGGGATCTTATTTGTTGTTATTTAAACAACCCTCTAGTGACTTCACGAGCGATAGAGGGATTGAAAAGCGTTAAAGCTCCCTTGAAATGTTGATAACGAAAGAGTGATGTGGTATGATCACAAGGGCTTCAATTACATTGATCAGCAGTATACCTTCCTCTTTTTATTATTATCTCCCATATCTTGATTTGTTTTTAGTGATAAATCAGTGACGGCCAAGTCGCACGTTTGAACGCTTAACAGAGGAGACCAAATCTGGAGCCCCATCGATAAACTATTTGGTAAGATGTCGAAATACTTCTATATACGAAGCCAACTCAACAATCTCGTTGTCACAGTTGACGGCTTTCAATGTGGTGGTTACCTCAGATTGTACCCAGCGTACAGAGGTGCCAATCAGCTGTGGAAGTGGGGAGCCAATAACAGCCTTGTCAGCAAAATGGGTCTGGTTGCAGATCTCGATGGTAGCTATTGCGTTGCTAACCCTCCCACTGGTATTGACCAGCAATCATGGCAATATACAAATGATCTGATGAAAAACAAAGATGACAGTGTTATGACTGTGGACAAAACAGAAATGGCATCATATCCGTATCTGGCCGAAGTAAGCGGAGAACTGAATCAAAAGTGGATATTGGTGCCCGAAGAGAAACTGGCACATTTGTAAAGCTAAATGAACTTATTTAAGAAAGCTGCTTTTTACTGTTATACACAGATTCAAGTATCGTTTTTTTGTAGAGTGTGGATATAAGGTTGAACAATTTTTATTTTAATTACGCCAACATGGGAGTAGTCGATTCTTGAGAATTTAAAACAGGTACTGTGTTAGACTATTTGCCTTGGTAAAGAGGAACTCGTGTGATTAAGACCAAAAGTACGGAGACTTGTGTGGCTTAAAGACTACCCAAAGATACCATGAATTGTATAATATTGTCACGTATTCTAAATAGCAAAGCTGTACTTGTTTTGAAGCACAATTGTGTACAGTGCTCAATTTATTTTAGGCAAACAAACAAAAGGGTAAATAAAACATATTCAATCGTCCTTCTGTTGTCTTTGTACAAAGGTAAGTCAGACAAGTAACTACCATAGGCGAAGCTTAATCGTCCGGGTGAGCGTCGTCGTAAGAATAACTGTTTGCTATGACCTTGACTGACGTTTTCAAAAATCCCGAGCAAACCTTGACTACAATTCTACTTGAACTTTGCAAATGTTGCGCAAATGAGGCAGCAGCTTTGTTTAAAGTCGTCGTCAAGTTTCGGTATCATTACTGAAATCCTCGAGATGCTGCATCTAGCAATTCAAACATCGCGGTTAACGTTCTCTTAACAAATATTTCTGGCCGCGATTTTTGCGTTTTGCCCAATTTTTCTGTGCATTTGCCCTTAAGGCGGGGGTTAACATAAAGGAAGCATTTTTGCTGGGTATTATGGTTTGAATGCAAATATCTCGTTCACGTTTCAAGTAGTCAAAAATCTCTCAACTCATTTCACGTAGCTACGTTTTGGGCTGTTTTGTAAATTTTTTGGCGATTTTTTGGTATATTTGGGAATAAATAGTTTTTGTCACAGGATTAGTAAAATTTATGAAAATAGGAAATTTTGAACATTTGATATTGTTTTAGAATTAGAATTTGAAGTTAAAAATTGGTAGACGTACAGCAAACAGTTACCTACCAACCCGGGGTGCCCTTTTGGGGGTAGTCAACTGTCTGGTGGTGTTCCAAAACCTTTTTTTTTTCCCTTTTAATCCCTCTTTAAACTTCCTTAAATTTCACTTAAATTCATGTGCACCCCCGCCTTAAGTCCACGGCTTTTTAATCTTTCGACTAAGCAACCTTAAATATTATTATCATATGTCAGAAAAATCCTGGTTTGTACACAACACGTCTTCCAAACAGGATCACTGTCTTTGGCGTCGTGGAACTTACAAACCATGATCTGTTTACAACTAAAACTAGTACTCTTACATTATTGGACTGCGTTCGACTAAGATGAATATCAATATTCACGATACACAAATTAGCAGAAAAATCAGGAT